CCATCTTCAGCTGCAAAGAATATAATCAACCTGATTTCAGTATTGACCATCTGGTGATGTCCATGTGTAGAGTCTTCTCTTGTGTTGTTGGAAGAGGGTGTTTGCTATTATGAATGCATTCTTTTGGCAAAACTCTATTAGGGTTTGTCTTGCTTCATTCTGTACTCCACGGCCAAAACTGTCCGTTACTCCAGGTATTTCTTGATTTCCTACTTTTGCATTCCAGTCCTCTTTAATGAAAAGGAAACCTTTTTGGGGTGTTAGTTCTAGAAGGTCTTGTAGGTCTTCATAGAACCATTCAATTTCAGCTTCTTCAGCCTTATTGGTCAGGGCATAGACTTGGATTACTGTGAATATTGAATGGTTCCCCTTGGAAATGAACAGAGATCATTCTGTCGTTTTTGAGATTGCATCCAAGTACTGCATCGGACTATTTTGTTGACTATCAGGGCTACTCCTTTTCTTCTAAGGAATTCTTGCCCAAAAGACATAATGGTCATCTGAATTATATTCACCCATTCTAGTCCATTTTATTTCACTGATTCCTGAAATATCAAAGTTCAGTCTTCCATCTCCTGTTTGACCACTTCCAATTTGCCTTGATTCATGGACCTAACATTCCAGGTTCCTATGCAATATTGCTCTTTACAGCATCGGACTTTACTTCCATCACCAGTCACATCCACACTGGGTATTGCTTTTGCTTTGGTCTGTCTCTTCATTCTTTCTGAAGTTAGTTTGCCACTGATCTCTAGAAGCATATTGGGCACCTACGACCTGGGGAGTTTATCTTTCAGTGCCCTATCTTTTTGCCTTTTCATATTGCTCATGGGGTTCTCAAAGCAAGAATACTGAAGTGGTTTGCCATTCCCTTCTCCAGTGGCCCATGTTTTGTCAAAAATCTCCACCATGACCCCTTCGTCTTGGCTGGCTCTACACAGCATGGTTCATAGTTTCATTGAGTTAGACAAGGCTGTGGTCCATGTGATCAGATTGGTTAGTTTTCTGTGATTGTGGTTTTCAGCCTGTCTGCCCTCTGATGGAAATCCAATTTTCTGTTGAAGGGCGAGGTTGTGTTCCCTCTCTGTTTTTTTGACCTGAGGCCAAACTATGGTGGAGGTAATGAAGATAATGGCGACCTCCTTCAAAAGATGCCATGCAGGCCCTGCTACAATCAGTGCCCCAACCCTGCAGCAGGCCACCACCAACCCACCCCTCCAGCAGAGACTCCTGGACACCCACGGGCAAGTCTTGGTCAGTCTCCTGTGGGTCACTGCTCCTTTCTCCTGGGCCCTGGTGTGCACTAGGTTCTGTTGTGCCCTCCAAGAGTCAGTTTCTGCAGTCTTGTGGAAGTTCTGGCGGCTCTCTGGTGGGTTAATGGTGAACTTCTCCAAGAGGGTTTATGCTATACCCAGGTCTACTGCACCCAGAGTCCCTGTTCCTTTGACAGTACACTGCTGACCCGTATCTCCTCAGGACACACCCACACACAGTTCTGTCTCAGTCTCTGTGTGGCTCTAGGTCCTGGTGTGCACAAGGTACATTTGAGCCCTCTGAGTGTC